CCGCCTCGCCCGCCACGTCCCGATCAGCTGGCCCGCGAGTACGTGGCCTGGCGGGGCGGGGCGGGGCGGGTGCATCTCCATATGGGCATTGCCAGGCCAGTCATCAGCTGGGCGACGCGGACCAGCTGGCCGCGCTCGCTGCGCTGCGCTAGTGCTGTCCATGAAGCACAGTGGGCCAGAAGAACGGTGCAGGCGGTCGAAACCCCGGACGCGTTTTGAGCTGTAGAGTCGCTAAATGAGACTCGAACCGAACGTGTGATCCTACCAATGGATCCCTCGTTCGAAAAGCAATCCATTGGTGGGGTCACACGTTCGGTTCGGGTACCATTTAGCGACTCCGGGGCTCAAAACGCGTCCGGGATTTTGCCCGCCTGCACCGGTCTCCTGGCCCTCTGTGCGCTCTGGACAGCCGCCGTCGCCGGTCGCTTTGTCGTCGTTCGAGATCAGCAGAGAGGCGGCGGCCGTCGGCAGCGCTAGCCGAGCGACCGCCAGTCTGAGGGCCCCGCGCGGGGCGGGGGTCCGGGGGCACACCTGCAGGCTGCGGACGCCCCCACGCGGGGGCAGGGCCGCCCCCGCCGGCCGGGCCGGGGCCGGGCCGCACCGCGACAGTGTGACTGCCGCCCCCGACCGCCCCCGGGCCGCTGCCTCCCCCCGTGACCCCCCGCGGGGCGTCGCATGCCACAGGTGGCGAGGCAGGGGCGGCGGGGGCCCTTCCAGCCGGTCGTAATCTCGCTCGTACTCACTCAGTCACTCACACGGACACGCTCGCTCACTCACACACACACACACACACACACACCGAGGCAGGCTCGCGAGAAAAGCACTTATTTGCTTCAAACAGTTAACCGAAACAAATTTACGTAGCGTCACTTGACTGTGCAAAAAAAGACGTAATGTTATTCTGCTCTATGCAAGCCACTCCTCCCTCTCGTTTAGGTGAAGAATGGGTTGGTTTGGTTCAAACGAATCAAATGACTTGCGTCATCTTTTAGTGCACTAATACTCCGATACAAATTCACGAGTCATCCTCCATCCGAAAACGTGGCAATATTCAAACCGAAGCAAATATTTTTGTTTTCATTCCAAACAACAACAACAAGTGGCCGGATCGGGGCGCACCCTTTCGCTCTCGGCAGCGGGCTGGTCCCCGTCGGTCCCCGGCGGTCCCCGTTCGGGGTCCTTGGCCCTGGGACAATGGCAGACGCCGCTCCCAAATGCCTTCCGCACCGCGCGTGCGCTCGAATCTAATTATTTCGGCTTTCGAATATGTGTCGCTGCCAGCCCCGGCTGGCCGGCTGGCCGCCCCGAAAACCAGTCCGCGTCATAACGACTTAATGCGGCTAGCCGGCCAGCCGGAGCAGCCAGCCAGGCAGCCACCCTCATTGGCTGCTCGCGCAGCACGCGGGCCAATGACAGGCTAATGATAACACTTTCGCTCATGATATATCGGACCGGGGAATCGCGGACGGGTGTTCCTCGCTCGCGGACTGCCGCCCTGGGGGCGGTGGCGGGGGGGTGGGGCGGGGGGGGGGGGCTCCTCCAGCCTCGGCCTCGCCGGCGACGCCCGGAGACGGTCGGCAGATCATCAAAATGCCATTTCTCCCCTGCCGAGCGATTCCGGGGGATCGTTATTTCGTCGCTCTGTCTCTGTCGCACTCACGGGGCGTTCCGTAGGGGAGCGAGAGAGACGGAGCGACCGAACGATCCTCGCGCTGGCTGCACGGCGTCGACACCGACGCCCGGCGCCGCCGCTTGACCCCGGCCGGCCTGCCGCTGCGGCGAGTCGTCGCTCTGTCTCTCTCGCGCCCGTGCGGCGCGACCCGTGCGTGCGAGAGAGACAGAGCGACGAAAACGACTCTCAGAATCAGTCTGCAGTGTCTTGAGGTCGTAAAATGCGCAAACAATACAAGTCTGGCATTGCGGCGCACAACGCGGCGCAGCGCGGCGCCCCATGCACGGTACCCGCCGGGACCGTAACTTAATAACCTTTTTCCCGATTTCAGCGCGCGAGGCTCGGGGCCGTGCACAAACCACGTAACACGCAACCGACCACGCCTCGACTAACACTCCACTCTAAATGTCTGTAGGAAAATGACGCAAAGCAAATACGAAGGTGCTTTTTCTTTCGTAGATTTTTTCCTTCTATATGACAATGAAAATGGTAAAAAGATTCCTGACATGAAGAAATATTGCTTCGTACTACACTGTTAAATGTCTTACGGTGAAAGGATGCACCAATATTATGGTGGAGATTTTCTCCATAATACCACCGAAATTCGTCAAAATATCGTTAAGGTGCAGTCTCAATGGTATGTTATGAAGTCAGCTGCACCACCATAATAAGGGACATTTTCACCATGATATGGAGAATCTCCACTGTACAAAATTTAGAGTGTACGCTTGCGCCAAATTCGCTGTAACATAGCCCAAATTTCATTGTAACACATTTAGAGCGCATTCGTTGAAATGTTGTCGATTCGAACTTCCCGCGATCCACATAGCAGTGCACCGCCCGCCATGAATGTAAACAAAACGCGGTTAATGACGCGCCGATCGCGGCGCCGCCATCTTAACGGCCTTCCCTCCCTTTTCGTTATTTTCGCGCGAACCGAAAGCAAAATGCAAAGCCAATAACGCGCGCGTGCTCTGCCGCGAGTCCGAAAAGGCGACCGCGCTTCCCTCTCGCTCCGTATCACGGGCATCTCTCTTTGTCGTGCAGGCACTGCCGGGCAGGCCGGGCACCATTACTCTGTTCCGGGAAGCGATCCGTGGCGGCGTGGCCGAGGCGTGGCAAGGCGTGCCGAGGCGTGGCTAGGCCGCAAAGATGCACACAAATTGGGAGCGCGCCGTCGCCTTACAGTGTGGTGCCACCGTGTGCCACCGGCCGCGTGAGCGGCGCACACCTCCTTAGACCCGTTTCGTATGTTTTCCAGGGCAAAGAGTCCGCCAGGGCAGTTTGCAGACTTAAAAATGAAGTGCAAAAATTGAAGGACAAAAGTCAAGTCGTTCGTAACCCAAATTTGCAGACGAAAACAGGTGTCATCTGCTAAAACTTCCTCAGATTGCTTTGAAACTTTGCTGACTAGCATCGCGCCTTCGTCAAAATTTTCATACATTTTTTAAAATTCTTTTGAAACCCTACTTTTTAGTTGGTACACTTAGAAAAGTGGTTTCTTGATTTTTAATTTAAAAGAAAAAGTCTTGCATAAGAAAATTTTTCTTCACACTAGACAGTTTGTTAAAAAAAACGTTTTGAAAAAAAAAAACACGAAAAGTTAGTTTTACTTGTTTAAGAAGTTTTTTTTTCGTGCAGTCCCTCTAAAGTACTGAAAACAGCGCAGCAGAGTCCGGGGTCAGCCCGCCTGCTCCACTGGTCCGCCCACAGGCGCGTGACACACGGCCCCAAAACCCACTCACCCGCCGCGCGGCGCCGCGGCCGAAAGTCCGTTTCTAAAGCCTTAAAAAAAATCGTTCCAATGCACTTAACGCGAAAAAGAAACCGCCTGTCTCTCCGGGACGCATAATGCCAAACGGCGAAAGGCGGAGGTGCAGCATCCGGCACACCAAAAACATAAAACTTTAAAAATTCAAATATTTAAAAATAGAAGAAGGGTATGGTTAAGAGCCAAAGAGCGTTTCCTCACTCAAAAGTCGCTAAGAAATCTGAAACCGCGAAGTGCGTCACCAAACCACAGTAGTATCTTGAAATTCTAGAAGTAACTGGTTTTCTATGTTGGAGAAAGGCTAAGAACGTAGATCCATTATATTCTTTCTCACCCGCACACTGTGTCCACCACCATTTCATCGCATTGCTGCAGTCGGAGACCGAGTTTCCCAGCCGCCTCACTGTAACTCCATTTCCCTCCGGGTTCCCTTCAGGCTTCATTAGGCAGATTGGGGGCCGGGCCAGCCAGCATCGCGGACGCTTGGACGCGACCGCCACACAGTGGGCCAGAAGACCGGTGGAGGCGGACAAAACTCTGGACGCGTTTTGAGCTCCAGAGTCGCTTAACAGGTCTCGAAATGAACGTGTGACCCCTCTAATGGATTCCTCATTCGGGGAGCAGTCCATTGGTGGGGTCACACGTTCGGTTCGAGCCCCATTTAGCGACTCTGGAGCTCAAAACGCGTCCAGAGTTTTGTCCGCGTCCGCCGGCTTCTGGCCCACTGTGCGCCGCGCCCTCACTTCGGCCGGACGGCAGCCGCTGCCACCACTACACGATTAAAATCCACTCCACTCATTCATCCATTCATTCGCGTGGTCACTCACGCGCCATTCATCTCGTCTCTCATTGACGGCCAGGCGGCCAGCCAGGCAGCCAGCCACGCCCGGCGGCCAGCCGGCAGCCGACACGCCCTTTCCGGGACGGCGGCGTCTTTGAATCCGTTGACCTAGCGCGGCGCGGCCTCGGCAAGGTTCATTCCGAACTCTCCCTGTCTCTCTCGCACCCCCGCGGGACGCCCCGTGGGTGCGAGAGAGACAGAGGGAGGCGGGGCGGCACGGCGGCGGCTCTTGTTCGGTAATGAGCAGTTGGCCGCGCCACCCGCAATTTAATCCCGACGAATCACGGCGAGGAAATGGAAGCAGGCATTCTTCCGAGCGGCAGGGTGGCAACCATGGCAACCATGCAAAGCATGAAAACCATACCTTGGGAATGGTGGGAACCATGGAAACCGTGGAAATCTTGGGAAAATTGGAAACCTTGGGAACCATGGAAAATTTGGAAACCATCAACCATCCTCCATCCGCGGATTTTAACCACGGTTCTCTGCGGAAAATTGCCTACACTGTGTGAGTCCACTCATGAGCTAGTCAAGTCACCCCACGCCCAAGCGTGGACCCGTGGGGTCCATCCTTCTCAACAAAAGAGGCTGCACGGGGAAAACCACAAGTGAACTCACTGAAACTTGTGAAAACTCCAGTTGTCACGACGCAGTGGAAGCATTCCCCAAGCAGCACGCGAACCCGCACCCACTAAATCGGCCCGTTTCTGTTTCAGAGCGCTTCGCAGAGCCACCCGCGCGGTGCCTGGGCGGACTACCAACCTCCTCAGTGAGTATAATCTTCAAAACTGGGCGGCCCGGGCCTGCCGGGCCCGCCAGGGAGAAGAGACAGCGGGTCGCGAAAGGTCTTCTTGGCCCCGCTCCAGGCACGCTCCCGCTCCAGCGCGCTCCAGCACGCCCTCCGCAGGGCATGCCGCTGGAGAAGCCCGTCCCGGAGCAGTCCGTCCGTCCGTCCGCCCGTCGCCACATGGTGTCGGAGTCATTTCCCGGGCCGAGCGGCCGAGCGGCCGAGCCAGTGTGTCTGGCCGATTACCCGTGGCTGCGCTGAGCTGCGCTGCGGTGCGGCCGGCCGCTCAATGGACCAGGAATCTGAATGAATCAACGCTCTAATCGCTACCGTCGTCCCGCTGCACTCCGTCGACTCCGTCTCTCTCGCACTCGCGGCCCGCCCCGTCCGGCGCCGTCCGGGTGCGAGAGAGACGGAGTGCGGCATCAGCCCGCGGCTGGAGTGGCTCGGCTGACCTTTCGACGCGCCCCGTTCGTGATGCAGTGATGGGCGGCTGGAAATCGGCGGCCAAATGGCGGCCAAATGGCTGCCGCCGCCACGAGCCGCGCGCGTGGCGCTGCAGACCCTCTTCCAGGACGCTCCAGGACGTTCCAGGACATTTCACAGGACGATCCAGGACGTTCCAGAACGATCCAGGGCGTGCCTGGACGTTCCTGAACTATTCAGGACGTTCCAGGACTTTCCAGTAGGGGACGTTCAAGGACGTTCCAGGATGTTTCAGGACGTTCCAGGTCGTTAAAGGACGTATAAAGGACGCCACAGCGGACGATCCAGGACGCTCCAGGACGCCCAGGACAATCCAGGACGATCCGGGACGAACCGGGACCTTTGAGGGCCGGGCTGGGTGGCCGCCGCGTGGGCCCGATAGCACGCACTACGGGAAATTTGAATCCAAACGATAAGTAGTGGTGGGCCGGCGATCCACCCACAGCGGGCACCGACAGGACACGCAGCGGACACGACGTGGACACGGCCAAACTGGAGGACGGCCCGGAATCACGTCGGAGTGACACTACTTGGGGGCTCACGTCGGGGCCTAGGGACTCTATCGGTGGGTGCGGGGGCTCGGTGAGGCTGCACAGTCCAGAGGCTGGCCGAACGAGAGAAGCATGACAAGAGGAGTGCAGGACATGACGAGCTAAGGAATTAAGGAGTTCAGGACATGAGGACGCAAGGACTTGAGGAGTTCGACATGAGTTCAGTACTTGAGGACGTAAGAAGGACTTGAACTAAGGACTGTGGAGGACTCAAGGAGTTCAGGACATGATAGATAAGCTAAGGACGTGAGAAGTTCGGACGTGCGGACGTACGAGGAAGAAAGAAAGAAAGAAAGAAAGAAAGAAAGAAAGAAAGAAAGAAAGAAAGAAAGAAAGAAAGAAAGAAAGAAAGAAAGAAAGAAAGAAAGAAAGAAAGAAAGAAAGAAGCTACATTCCTCGCGCAGTCCATCCTTAATCACCTATTGTGGTGGCGTTCGCTTTTAGACTCACTAATGGGCGGGTTGGTCGCGAACCAAAGTGTCAATGCAGGCCGGCGGTGCCGCGGTGCCGCGCCGCAACGCATCGAGTGTAATGAAAAATTAATTACCATCAGTCAAGTGGCAGTATGCTTTGATGAGAGCCGCCCTGAGACAAGACAGGACAAGACAGGAGGACTGTACCGTGATGGAGCGCGTCATGCGAGCCGAGCCGAGCCGAGCCGAGCCGAGCGAGCCGAGCCGGATCAAGCCGCGACGTGCGCGGCGCCGGGCTTGGAGACTTAGACGCAATGTGAGCCGATAGCACGGCAACAACTGCCCACCATTTTTTCTCATTTTATTTTTTATTTCGCTCTGACGTTTCGGTCATTGTGCCAGTGGACTCCACGTTAAAATACTGGCTCAAATTAATTGACTTTTATTTCCATGTGTGTGGATTTTTTTTTCGAACGAGTCTCGTGTAGGTTTGAGTGTAAACCTTCGTGTCAAGTTCAAATATTCCCTGTTGCTTAAATTATCCCCGAGCAAGGTGACTTTGGGCAAAAGCTTGGCCGCGGAAGCGTCCCTGCAGTGCGCATTTTCCAGTGAGCGCGCGCAGGGGGGCGGGGGAGTGCCTGCTGGAGGCTGCAGGCTGCTGCCTGCCGGCTGGAGGCTCCAGGCGGGCCGGCCGAGCTGGCAGCCAGCCGCGGCTGGAGCGCGCGGTATGCAAGCCCGGCCTGGCGGGCTGGCGGCCGGGCCCTCGACGCGTGCCGCGGGGCCGCGCCGCCCCGCCACGCCTTCTGCGCTCCGAGGCGCGGTTATCGCGGCCCCTCCGCGGGGGGGCGGCGCGCGCTCGCGGCCACGGCCCCCTCGGGGTGCAACTGAGCCGGGGGCGGCGCCACCCCCGGCTGCGGGGCGGCGGGGGCGCGCAGGGCGGGGGCGGAGCGCCAGATGGCCGCGGAAGAGTGCAGGCCGCCTGCGGTACGGCGAGGCGCCCCCCTCCCCTCCCCCCTTTCACCGCCTTTCCCTGGCGGCCGGCCCGGCGGCGGGCGAGGCGCGGCGAGGCGCGGCGGGCTTCGAAAATCGACACAATTGAAAGCGGCCTGTTATAGCTGAGGCTGATTGGGGATGAAAGAAGCGGGCTGGACGGACGGACAGTGCCGCCGAGGTTCCCTGTTCGCTTCCCCGCGCCGCCGCCGCGGCGCCAGCGCGTCGGCAACGCACGCTTTTTGCGGCGCGGCCGTCCAAGGGCCGGCAAGGGCCCGGCACGCCCTGCTGCTCCGAACGCGCTAGCTGTCTCTCTCGCACTCCTCCGGAGCGCCGGCTGGGTGCGAGAGAGGCAGAGCGACGCGGTTCGGAGTCGGTCCGCCGCGGCCCGTAAACCTCGCAAGCCCTTCGCTTTATCCTCATCGTAAAGCGAGTTGGTCTCGCCTCGCTCTAACTCGACGCCCTGCCAATAAGACACTGCCTGTTCGCAGCGCCGTGGGTTGCCTACCTCTGACTACCCTGCCAATAGGGCACTGTCTGTTCGCAGTAGCATCTGGGTTCCCAACAATGTACTGTCAGTGGCCTCCAGGTTGCCTACAGGACGTGTTTGCAGTGGCGTTGGCTGCCTACACTGCCTGCTGGCAGTAGCCTCCAGGTTGCCTACACTGTCTGTTTGCAGTGGCGCGGTTTGCCTCCCCGCCCACGCCTCCCTGTCACCGCGGCCGTGGGAATGCACGGCAGTGCAGTGCCGCGACGGCGGGTAATGGGTTAATCGAGTATCCGCCGCCACGCACCGAGCGCAGCGGAGCGCGGCCAAGCGCCGCCTATCGAGTTACCGCCTCGCCGTGTCCGCCGCATCGCCTCACCGTCGAAAAAACGGAGCCAGTGGCTGAGATTCTGAAAACTTACTCTGAGTTCCGCAGAATGTCAGGAAAAGTTTTCAGCTTTCAGAGGTGCGCGAATTTTGATCAGGTTTCTGACATACTGACAAGATTTACACGGGTGTGAGCTTTAATTTTCCACTAGCTGCGACCTGATCTCACATTTGATGGGATTTCTTCTCCTTGGGAACGCAAAGCCCTGCTGCTCAGGATTTGGCACCCTGTTAAAATAAAGAGTTAAGTCAATTGACTGAAATGTGGCTAATTTCTTTTATTTTTAGAAAAATCATTTTGTCCGAGAAAGTACTCTATAAATTCTTCAATCAGATTGAATCACACAAAGTTAAACTAAAGGCTGCTATAGCCTCTTCGATTTGGCTTCGTCTTACAGTGAACGGCCTGGACTCTCTTGTAACATGTCCGACAACACAGTAACGTTTGGAAATACGTGATTTAAATCAGGCCCCCGTTGTCCTGTTGTTCCCTTCCTTCCCCACGGGGCCGCGGGGCTGGGCATCACTCCTGGAAATGTGCCACTTTTTGTATGGAAATGGCCCGCGCCGCTGGAGCCGCTGGAGATTCCAGACAGATGCTGCGCCGCGCTCCGCTCGTGGGCGCGTGCATGTGTCAGCACACCCGTGCCAACTGTCGGCGGAGAGAGAGAGAGAGAGAGAGAGAGAGAGAGAGAGAGAGAGAGAGAGAGAGAGAGAGAGAGAGAGAGAGAGAGAGAGAGGAAAAAACGACGGGAATTGCTGAACGCGTGCGAATAGGAACATTTTGGAGCGCACCCGCTAACAAGATCCGCACAGCGCGCGCTACCGCGACGCTGTTGCTGCGTCATTTTATGGAACTACGACTTTCGTCCCGTTTCCACCGTAAAAATCACACTCACTGGACAAAAAGAGAAAATCTTTTTTTTTTTTCAAGGTCGCTTTGTTGTGAAAATAGTGCCGCCCGTATCATGTTCCGACGGCCATTTCTGGGGGTGTCCATTCCGATGACTGACACGCCGACCTGCGCGTCTCGGCGTGTCACTGGCGGGGTTAACAAGTTATCCATCAGGGCGCAGGGCAAGCCTTTGGTCTCGGCCCGGTCGCTCCGTCTCTCTCGCACCCCCACGGCACGCCCCGTGAGTGCGACAGAGACAGAGCGACGAAACGGCTCTCGCGCCTGCTAGGGCCCTGGGGCCTCTGGCACGCCGCCGCCGCGGCCCTGTTGGTACATGCGGACTGATTCCGAGAGTCGTCTTCGTCGCTCTGTCGCTGTCACACCTGTACGGAGCGAGTGCGAGAGAGACAGAGCGACGAGAACGACTCTCGGAATCGGACTGATGGGCATAAGGGAGCTCCCCCGCCGCGTCATCCAGGCCGCCTGTTCGAAGCCATTACTTCGGCGGAGCGCGCGAGCGGAATGCAAAATCAAGACATTTTATAAAAAAAACGTCCATTAATATTGGAGCCGCTCCCCGGCGGCCTGGCGCCTCCAGTGGCGCGCCTCGACTTTCAATAGCGCACCAGTAATTAACAGCGGCCTACACTGCCAAGACTCTGCTTTCTTAGTTCCATTAAAGAACAACGGGGCTGTTTTTAAATTGTAAAGTTTACTTTCCAGATCAGGGATTCAATCTTTGGTTATCACGACATTTTATCAATATTTTACAGACCAAAATTTTTGGTCAAAAGTATCGATTGTTTTTAGATTAACGATTCTACTACAGAGGCTCGACACTTAGCAAAATTTTCGTTTGATTTTTCTATGATATTTTTCAAGGTTTTAGAGGCTGGTGTAAACACTATCCCTTTACAGTGAAAACCAAATCCTACAAATCAGAGAAAGCATCAACGTTTGCTTCCTTTACATAGTAACAGTAAATCCTTGCCTGCTTCTTTTTTATTTAAGGGAATTCGATTTATAATGAGAACCCATTCTCGCTTTGCGTTCCTCTAGGCCCGACACCCACAGAATGCGGTATGGAAAATCTCCCCCGTGCGGATGGCCTCACCTTTATGACCCTTGCATGCCGCGCCTCGCCCCGCCTTGCCCCACCCCGCCCCACCTCACCCCGCCCCACCCCGCCCCGCCCCAAGCACGCGCCGGGGCCCTTTTTACGGCTAGCGTAATTACAACAAGCGCTATTGTTTAATTACCGCCGAATGTAATGCTACTTATTGTCATTACACCCCTTTTCCCGCCCAGTCTCTTTAAAGTTATACCCGCCCGTTTTATTATCAATATCTTCGGCCGCATTAGAAGTGATATTTATTACTGCGTGTAATGCGTGCGGTTTACTGCTTGCAGGGCCAGCGCACCGAGCCGAGCGGCCGAGCGGCCGAGCCAGCCGGGACGGAGCGGTTCATCAGAGCAACGAGAAGACTGAACACGTGTACCTGTCATGACAATACACCGCCCAGTGTGTTTTTATTGTTTTCGTTTTCTTGTGTGCCTTCCTCATCCCAATGCACTACCCTGCACCCGGCTAACGGCCGCACTAACGCCCGAACACTATGCACTATCAGCTTTGCACCACACTGCACTTGTCGATCAGGATTTTCGGACCAATTTGAAAACAAAACGACGGCTCAGCAACAAACAAATGTTGTTCTCTCTCACACCCCTTCCCAACAAAAGACGTAAAATCAAGTTCACTGTGTTTTTTTACATTCTTCAGTAATGTTGATATGACTAAGAATAGACGTACTCTGTGACATCTTGACTAGGAATATTGCAACACGCCAATGGCTTTAGCCAAATTTAAAGTCATTTTGACGTTCACATTTTTTCACAGCAATCAAACTAATACTTATATATTTTTTTGTCGTTTTAAAATATGGTTCTGCTACGTCATAAGCGAGCTAAACCAGGACGTAAAACTTCCAAAAATCTCGGTCTATAATTTCCCGAATCAGTGGCAGTATTTGTGGTCCAGCCCGGAAACGCCTGGCGGGTAGGCACCACGGACACACGCGAGCCTCAGGGTTGCCTACCCGCCAGGCGCTCTCCGCGCCCACTCCCAGAAGACGCGTCATAGCCAGGGACAATACTCCCCCTCCCCCTTCCCCCCGGTGCTTTTGGCACTGACACTGACACCTGATCAATTTGTGAGGCAGTTGGGCCAACGACGCAATCAGCCAAAAGCCCAGATTCTAGATTATCAACAATGCCGTGGGCCGGAACGGCGCGCGCGGACCGGAGAGAGAGAGAGAGAGAGAGAGAGAGAGAGAGAGAGAGAGAGGAGAGAGGGGGGCCGCGGTCGGCTCCGAGTCCGAGGGCGTTCGGAATCACTTCGGGCGACTCCGTCGCACTTCGGCGAGCCGAGCCCCCGGTGTGCGACGAGGACGCGCGCGGGAGAGGTGACTCTGACTCCGGCCACGGCTCGGGCTTCGGAGCAGATGTGTTTGAGTGAGTGGGTGTCACACGAGTGGGTGCCCCGCTCAAGGTGAAGCAACAAGGTGCTGGTGTGTGTGTGTGTGTGTGTGTGTAGTGTGAGTGTCAGTGTGTGAGTGTGTGTGTGTGTGTGTTAGTGTGAGTGACAGTGTACATGTGTGTGTATGTGAGTGACAGTGTGTGTGTGTGTGTGTGTTGGGATGAGATGGCATTATGTAGGTGGCCGCGCGGGGGCGTGAGTGAGATAGATGGAGAAATAGAGAGTGATGTATGGCAGGGAATCAAGAGGAGGGGGCGCCTAGTGCAAATCCCGCGCGGTGCATGAATGATCTAGTGACCGGTAATTTATAGTTTGAGAATCCTTGCATCTGATTTCCGCAACGGGGCCAAAACACTGCCAGTTTTCACCGCCCGCGTTTCTTTCTTTTGCTTCGTTTTTCCCAACAAAACGTCTTTTCCCTCAGCCACTGCGGTACATACCGCGACTGTCCGTTCCTCCGGTTGATATCTTTTTCCCCGCGTTCCCCCGCGGACCGCGCCTCCTTTCCAAATTCCAGTGTGTGCGCGCGGTGCGAGCCTGCCGTCAGAACTGCCCTATCAGAGTCAATAAATCCTTCAATCACCGCAGATATTTCATGATTATCTTGTACAAAAAAAACTAAACCATTGACGGTCTGCTGAGAGACGAACGTCACGTTCCGTCACCGACGTGCTGCAGACTCCGTCGCTCTGTCTCTCTCGCACCTGCAAGGGACGCCCCACGAGTGCGAGAGAGACAGAGCGACGACTCTCGGAATGCCGCGCCGCGGACGTCGCGGACGTGCCCCGATCACCTCGGTAATGACAAATGAAGCCCCGCCCGCCGGCTTCCGGTCCCTTTCACCGTCCACCGCGGTCCACCGCCACCTACACTTTCATTAGCTCCCTTTTCCTCCAAATTGATTTGCATCCATTGACCCATTCCCCCTCCCCCCTTTTATTTTTTTTATTGTGAAAATGTAATATGCAGATTCGGTTTCTAGCCGGACGGTTCTGCACGACTTGTCCTGATTGTGGTGCGTTTGTTCTATCTTGTGAATAAAACAATGGCAAGAGCTCAGACAATGTGGCTTTCATTTCCCCCATTGCCCCCACCCCGTGGGCGGCTTGCCGGACTCCGTCGCTCAAAAAGGCTCAGGCTAGTTTGGCGGGAGTTTAAATCCAGATCGACAAAGCAAACACACATGGCAGCTTTCCTTTTTTCCGTGTTCTTTTTTTTTTTTTGTTAAAAGACAAGTAACGTCCATGCTTCCAAACTGACCTGTTTTATTTTTTAACTACCTTTGTCGTAGCTTTTTTTCTTTTTTCATTATTCTTGATTAATTTGCAAGTTTAAAAACAAAAAATATTTGAGACAATTTTCATCCCTCCATTGGGATAAATTGCGTTCACTTTGGGTCGGTATGTGCTCTCGGCACGTCGGGATCGAAGTGATATGAGCCCAGTTTTGTTTTCAGTTTTATGTATTTACATCTCTGGCCAACAAAATTATTATGCACAAACAAGTACCAACACAATGAGAGGGAAAACAGAGACACATCCTACGAGTAAATCACGAGGTCATACATACAAAATAGGCACCAGACATCGAAATCTTCGACGGAATATATAATAATTAATGTAAATAAAAACAAGTATTTGGTAGACAGTGGACAAACGAAGCCTATGCTACAACAGGGTCCACTAGCCCCAATACGGATTCGTCACAGATAATGTCTCACTCACACACAAACACATTCTCACTCACACTTGGCAGACATTCATACAGACACACACGTTAGAGTAATCTTTGGTTGGCAACAGTTCGTAGCGCGGGCACTGCAAGCCACACCTAAAGCCAGTCCCTGAGAATACGTGGTAACAAAGGTCCTTTCACTGCCCAGCAGTTCTGTACGCCTTTCCAGAAAAAGTAATTCAAACCGGTTGGCTCGCAACATTCTGAGGTCTTTGAAGGCGCTTCGCCGATCGAAGACGAGGCCGCGGTTCAAAACCCACAGCCGTCGCGAGCCGTTGCGCACATCGGTTCAAAACGAAGCTGAGGCTGAAGTCGCTTTAGGATAGACCGGTTCAACCGTGCTAGAGCCCAGGGCTGCGATCGGTAGCCCAGCTCCGTTTTAGCGGCACTTTTGAGACGGTCGCGCAAAACCAAAATGGCCAAATTGAGCACCAGGGACTGGACATGTGGTTTGGACCGGATCACGGTACCCGCCATCACAACTTAATAGCAGACCCCATCTCGAAAAGAAAAAGAGTGCTAATCATCCTCAAAGCGTCTCTATATATGAGACAGGAAATTGAATAATTATTTTCTCCTCTGTCGTAAAAATAATTAAAATGCATCAGACACCAATTTGTCGGGAAGGTGGGAAGGAGGGCGGGAGGAGGCGGCGGCGCGGTGCGCCAGTGTTGCTGCTACTACACTGTGTTCTTTCATTAGCGGTTGTCATGGAAACCACGCGAGATGGACCGGCCGGGCGGCACGGCGGCGGAAAGGGTACCGAAATGCGGTTCCGAGTGGGGGGCTTCTGGGCACGGCGGGGCACGGCACGGCGCGGCTGCGGTGACATGCTTCAAGGAATTTATCGGGCATCGGGCGGGCGGAGGGCCGGGGGGCGGACGGGATGCACCGGCCGGTCACGTGCGCGTCGACCAGGTGGTTCATTAGCGCGGTCCAGCCGAATACCGGTAGCACAGCGGCCGAGCGGCCGGGAGAGCCGGGCGTGAAATCAATCCCAGTAATAGAGCACGTGGCGGCTATCCGGGCATCGCGGCCTCGACGGCCACGACGGCCACGAGGTGCGCGACGGCCACGCGAGCGGTGGGCGCTCGGCGCCGGGGCGACGGGCACCGCGGCGACGGGCACCGGGACGGAGACTCTAATTATCCGGCAACAAATCAACAACAGGGCTGGTGGTGGCGATGTCCTCGCAATCAGGGCGCGAGATAAGAGGCGGGGAGGGGGCGGTCACCCGGTGGGGGGAAAGGGGGGGGAGAGCTCGGATTGTATGCAAATGTGCAACGCGACAGTCACCGCTGTCAGGACAATTACTGCGGCCAGCCTAGGCCAGCCCAGGGCCGCGCAGATGGACACAGTCCGGCCGAAACCGCGAGCGGCTGTTCGAACCCGAACCCGAGAAACCGTCGGGTTCGGGAGCCGCCGGTCAAAACATCCGCCGCACTCGGTCGGCATACGCGTGACTGGAACGCGGACCCTTCTTTTCGGAGCATCCTCCGAATCGAGGCTGAAAATGAAGCGGCCGGAGACTTGGACGGCGGAGACGTCTTCGCGGCGCGCACGCACAGATAGTGCAGTGCAGGGCCTCTGGCTGCACACAATGCATAGCCTGATTACGGCTTTCCGGGAAGGCGCGTCTTACGTGTGATTCTCGCTACGATACACAGTATGCAACACGGCAGCACTCCTTTGCCCACACTTTATCACGGGGGTATGACGAAACGGGAGGAAAATTGGTTTAGGCGTCTTTTGTTTCGCTGTCAGGACAACCACGCTTTCCTTTTGTAAGTACTGTTTGTATAAAGAACTACAAATTAGAGTAACAAAATTAATAAATTATAATCTTGACTAATAATCACAATCATTAACAAGACGTACAGAGAGCAGTACGTGCAGGCATGACTAATAAGCTCGCCACACAACAACAACAACATCAACAACATGCTAAAAAGGGGGTGGCAAAGGCCCGACGCTCTCAGGAGGTCAAATGGGACGAACCAGAGACACTAAGAGAGGAGGAGAATGTTTCCGAAAGTCTGAGACAGGTTTGGTTGTGCCATTCGATCTTTGGAAGGGGACACTATAAAGAGAGCCTCCTCAGAGCGTGGGGTCTGGCCGAACAAACACACCAAGGCATACGAACCATGTCACGCTGACCGACGCAAGCTGCCTCTAATATAACAACCAGCCAACCAGCCTAAACAACTACCACTTTGGCCTTAAAGTATAAACCGCGTGCAGATACGATTATACTCTAATAAAATAGGTAAACACATCAACAAGTTTCTTTCTGCGTTCACAAGTGTACAACAGAGGGATTGCACTTACCCTAAAATAGCGATCACGGAGACGTCGAAACAATTTGACAACATTTGACACCAAAATCAGAAGAAGATCGCAGGTTGGCTGGTATTCTCAACCCAAGTCAAACACTACAAAACCAAACGGCCGTGAGCTCAATTTCAGGATCAGTCAAGTCGAGGGTTCGATGACATTATTTCTTAATAATCGAATATAGGAAAATAATTTATTTTAGCGAGATAACAGTGACTTTCAAGAAAAACAAACTCCTTGACCGGACTCATTCTGGCGTTGAGCTCACGGGAACATGCGTGCATAAACAAAACACCGAGCAGGGCAGAGCGAGAGGCGGTTGAGGCAAACATCGGAAACGTGTGAATTCTTCAAATACTTCAAATTTTAAAAGGAAACTTTGCAAATGTTACTTTGCAGAAAAACAAGGTGGGCAGATGGCGTTCAAGGGAGCCGCTCACCACGTTGGTGGCAGTGTGCCAACGCCGGGGAGGAAGCCACGGCGGCCACGCGGCTAGAGCTGTGGCCGCCGGTGGCGCATCCCACATAAGCCAATCCTTTACATTTCGTTTAAAAAAAACAACAACAACAAAAACGGCACTCTAAATGCTCTCTTCCCCACTACGTTACAAAAATGACACATTAACAAAATAACTTAACAAATATATATCACGTGACTCACTACAGGAATGTCTTTGTGGAAAAATAAGTTCAAAAAACTAGAAATTTTGCGCGCGCGTTGGCGAAGAAGAGGCAGTTCTAGTTTCGTCCGCTGGGCGGCGCGAGCGTCGTTCCCAATAACTGCACCAGAAGGGAAGGCAAGCCCATTGAAGCTATGTTTAGCCATTCGGGTAAATTTAGGCCTTAACCTCAGCGCCCTCCTCGCGCTACCGTGCTGGCAATACTACTTCTACGCAACAAACACATGCACTACACCGGCAGCAGCAAGATCACATCACAAACAATCAAAAGGCCAGCCAGAGCAGCTGCATCGACCGGGCATCCCTCTCCGCGAAAACACGGTTAGGTTGTGACCAAAGATTATGACGGAAATTTAAGAATCAAAAATCTAGAAATCTATGGATGTGCGGAGAACGGAGTTTGGTCGATGCAACTGCTCGCGCTGGCGGTCAGGGGAGTCTTGGGATTGGACGGAGACGAAAGATGGGAAGGAATGCTTTTACAAGGGGAACCGTTTTTAAACACGACGTTGAGCATTCATTTATAAAATTCTTCACTTTATTTTGCGAATGTAAGAAATCGGAGTGTATTTTTAAGGTCAAAAAAGTGTCCTAAATTTACCCGTCCCGGGACGGCACACAATACGTGCTGGCGCCCCCTGCTTCGGGCCCCTTCCTTGGGGCAAGTAAAGGGGATTCACGAGATGACTCGGTTGAGGAAATGAATTTATGAGCGCTGGGAGCGCTGCCAGGCCGCCCCGCCAAGCCACTGCCCCCGCACCGACCGCCGCCGGCCGCGGACCACGCCAGACGGCGACGCGGAGACGCACACAGCCAGACTTATTCGACCATGCTCGGCCACAACTTTTGGTCATACATTTTCACATTGCAAAAAACAGGAAAAAACAACGTATGAAAACAGCAATAAAGTTTTTATAAAAAATATTTTTACGTGTAAAAGTGTTTGTAAAAGACTTATTCAGCCATGTTCGGCTACCCCTTTTGGTCATAGATTCTCACTTTGCAAAAACAGAAAAATACAATTTCAAAAAACAACATATTTCTATAAAAATATATTTACGTTTAAAAATTGTTCATAAAATTTCTATCAAAATATATTTTTAAAAAAATTAGAAAATATTTAAATTTGCGCTGCCCTACCGCTGCGGGTGCGCGTGGGACATGTGCGCCAGGCCGTAGCTGCCCCCGCCGCCGTGCTGGGGCTGCGGGGGCTGCTGCTGCTGCTGCGGCAGGGGGGAGGGGCAGGGCTGGTGGTAGGGGGGCAGCACGAGGGGCTGTGGCGAGGGGCAGGGGAGGAGGTGCGAGGGGGAGGGGTACATGTGGTGCTCGGGGTGCTGGTGGTACATGCCGCCGCCCATCATGTGCTGCTGCTGAGCGTGCGTGCCGTGGCCGCCGTGCGAGAGGCCACCCTGGCCGCCGTGGCCGCCGTGGCCGTACACGAGGTGCCTTACTTTCTGCTCGTCGTCGCCGATGTTGTACGACAGCTCCGTCTCCTCGAAGCCCGTGGCGCTCATGCGCTGGTCGCTGCCGCCGTTGCCGCTGCTGCCGCCCGACGACGGGCAGGGGTCCGGCGAGTTGAGGCACGTCTGGATGAGGGCCTTGCCGGCCTCCGACGTGATCATGGGCTGCAGCTTGCGCGTGGCGAACGTGTACACGTGGCCCGTCTCGGACGCCACGAGCAGCATCACTTGCGTCCCCGTCAGCGTCGACAGCTCGTACGCCTGCGGGCAGAAAGAGCGGCGGTCAGGTTCGCGTCCACCTCGGTGAAGACCTTCCGGGGCACAGTGAGGCAGAAGCAGAAGACCGGCGCCGGCGGCCAAAACTCCAGTCGCGTTTTGAGCTCCTGAGGACATGACTCGAACCAAACGAGTGACCACCACCAATGGATTCCTCGTTCGGAGGAGATAGTCCATTGGAGAGGTCACGTTCATTTCGAGTCCCATTTGGCAACTCTGTCGAGTCGAGACTTTGGCCGCGTGCAGGTACTGCGAAGAACAAACAATTTTCTTTGAATTATCTCGAAAATGGGTAAGGTTTGGAGACTGTTTAATAGTTTCCCAACTAGTTTCCAATGCACAGGTGCTCAGGCTTTGGGTGCACTTGATGAGGCCAAGCCCACAGCGTCCTCCGGGTCCTCCAACACGCAACCTCCGGTCCGCTGGCTGGCCCACTGTGCGGCCGGCCGCCTCAGGTGTGGCAAAGGCCACGGGGCGCGCCGCCTCGGCCGCCCTGCCCACTAAATCCCAAAGTATAAATTGTGGCGACCGACATATCTCGCATCTCGCAGACAGACGGTCGCAGGTGAAAGTCCGCGCATGACCCTTTGGTTACACCGCCAAGCGGCCGACAGCGGCGCGCCAAATGACACCTCGGAAAAGCGCAAGTCACACCCTCCAACTTCGAACGCGATACAGTGTAGCAGCTGGGCGATTGAGGTGAACGGATCGTCGCTCTGTCTCTCTCGCACTCCCACGGAGAGAGGCACGAGGGGGACGGAGACGGCGCGACACGGAACGACGCTCTGAATCGGCCGGCTGCTACACCTGGGCGCCGCGGCGTCGTGCGCGCGGGGCGTGCCAGTGGGTGGCAGTGGGCGTCCCCCCCCCCCTTTCCCCCGGGCCACCTCACGGTCACATGTGTGTACATTGTCACTGACGGGTCACGTGTGTGCGTATCTTGTCACTCACATTACCTAATGGTCACAACACTGGCCCGGAGAGGGAGAGAGAGAGAGAGAGAGAGAGAGAGAGAGAGAGAGAGAGAGAGAGAGAGAGAGAGTTTTTTTAGTTTTTAACAGTATTTATTGGGGGGATTCTTATTTCACATTCGGGCCAAGGGGTGGTGTAATTTTTGTCACAAAATGCATGCAGAGTTTCTGTTTTTTTAAAAAAGTTTTGATGTTTGTGGTGCTGGTTTTACATTTTGTAACTTAGAGAGATTATTGAATTTTTACATTTGTTTTTTTTTAGCTTTTTTTTTCTTTCTTTCTTTCTTTTTTTTTTTTTTCATTTGATTTTTTTTTTTTTTTTTTTTTTTTTTTTGGGACAATTTTTTACAGATGAGGTAATTTACACTTTCACATTGAGAGGAAGAAAATACAATTTACTAATTGTTAAATGAGAGCTTCAGCTGCACGCTTTAGTCTCCTTAGTAAATTAAAATCTTTACATAGTATTTGAGCATCATTTAGTTGAGCAATTAAAGCACTGAAATCACTGGTATACTTAGATGCAACAGCTTTTGAGTTACTTTTCCCTCTACACTCAGAGAGAAAACTGCGGAAATGTTCTTGGCTTAGGTATGATGATTTGTGTTTCATTTCATTCATTAGTTGGTTGACAGCTAGTTGCTCTTTGGCTCTCTTGACTTTTTTTCTCTCAGGCTTGTCTTGTTGATCCACTCCACTGTAAGAGCTTGATGCTGATGAGTCTTCGTCATTTGTGGGGGAATGTACTCTCTTGACTGAAACGTTGGCACTGCTAGGTTGTGTGTCCGTTACTTGAACATGGGTACTCTGAAGGGCAGCATCTCCTTGTGATTGTAGCTGACAACCCTGAAAGTCAGTGTCCTCAGTAGAGCTAGTGATTGATACATCAAGGGGCGACAACTTTTGTTGGTCTGGTTGAGGCAGCGTTTGGTTCAACGCAGGCTGGGTTTCTTGAGTGATGTTGGATGGCGTTGAATTGTTCGGATGAAGGATGTCTCCCCAAACTATTGGTGCTTGGTGACTATTTGGCTGCCAGTTGTTGTTGGGTGGACTGGAGAGACTTGTCGTTGGATCAGAGGTTAGGTTGGGCTGGTTCCATGGATTTCTGTTGAGCGGAGTGGGTTTTCTTGTGTTGACGAGTCTTGTGACACTGAAGGCTGGAAAGTTGGGAAGTTGATGTTGTCGATTTGGAGTTTTTTGCAATTTTCTCTGATGTGACCTGGTGCCAGACAGTGTGCACACACTAAATCATCTCTGTTGACATAGAGAAAACTTTTGGTCCCATCAGTATTATTGACAATAGGAATTCTCTTGGGTGGGTCATTTGAGTCACTGGGTATCATTATGTAAATTGAGCGGCGCCAGGACTTCACATGTTTTAAATCATCATGAGAAGTATTAACCCGGAGTCTTGATGGTGCAGAAACAATTCTACCATAAGGCTCCAACAGTTTCTTGAGGTCGTCATCAGAAAACTCAGGTGGGCAATTTGATACTACAAACTTTGTGGCCTCGGTAACATATCTTCGTACTGGAAAATACTCGACATCAATAACTACTCCTCCTTCTTGACACAGTTTGTTGACACATTCTTCGTTTGACAGGTACATGCAGATTCGTGCGCCACTAAGTCGGGTCACATAATGGATATTAGCGCCCGAAATAATGTCAGCAACGGCTCTCAATGCTGAGTCTTGAGAAACAGATTGGGTATTTTCAATAACTATTGCACACTTTTTTGTTGGCACATAATTTGTTGAACTTGTGTTGATTGCTTCATCAGTTCGTCTGCTGCCGATGTTGTTTTGGTTGGGTGCGTTCGTTGAGTCTTGACTGATGGCCGCTGGTGGTCGTTGTTGGTCAGTTGAGGTTATGGCGGCCGCCATGCTGGATCCGGGAACGGACCCGCGGCTACTTGCAGAACTACGTGAGTCAGATTCAAATTGACTTACTGATGAATTGTTTGTGGATGACTTGTTGAAGGTTTGTTGGATTGCTGGTGATGGTTTGGATGAAGTCTTGAGCCAAGATGTCATTCCAGAGTTGCCGCTGAGGACGGTGGGGTTGTTTTGATGGTTGTTGTTGAGCTCGGCCAGAGCCTGGCGGCGGGACGCCATGACTGTGACCGTTGCCGGCTGATGGGTTTGTTGTTGTAGATTTATCCTCTAGAAGAGCACCAACTGGCTGTGATTATTATCACATCTTGGTGGTTTCTTCTTTAACTTGCCGTGGGAAAGTATTTGTAGGCGTTTCAACGCCTCCAAACTAGTTAAAAGTCAATAAAACTGGGGAGCACACTGGTTTCGCGCGTCAGCCGTTGGTCGAGAGAGAGAGAGAGAGAGAGAGAGAGAGAGAGAGAGAGAGAGAGAGAGAGGTAACAGGACGCGCGGCGTGGGTGGCAGTGGCGCAAGACGTCCCCATCCAGCCTCCCATTTCCGTTCCAGACTCTAGACGAGTTCAAGACGCGTGCCCCACTTGTCCAAACAACGGACAGCGGTAGAAAAAGAAGGACCCTTCTCATGCATAGCTCTTTGCAGTTTTAGGGTATTGTATTGTACCTGCTTCTCCGACTCCAGCAGACTGATTTTTTTTGAATCTGGCAGATTGATTTGTTCGTCATTTTCCTAACTTAAAAACGCCTGTGCCAAACCTAAAAGAAAACAGAAACAACGTTTTCTTTCTCAGGCGGGCAGGTAGAGCGCACGAAAGAAAACAGAAAAACATCACGAATCCACATGTCATCAGAGTCAAAGCTCTGCTACAAATGTTTTTATTGATTTTTCGAACTACTGGCAGGCTATGTATCTCCAGTACTACTCTTCGTAGAAAAAAATTATATCACAATGCGAATGTACCAAATCTTTTCTATAAAAATGTCTCCCACTACACTTTAGCTCTCTTACGCTACACCGCGTCACCTGTCGCGTGTCACGCCTGTGTCACGCCTTCGTCACACAATGGTGCCAGCCTGCACCGCGGGTTCACGGCCAGGTCACCTCCATTAATTTACCGGCGAGACACTGCAAGGGCGCCACGCGGTCGGCACCGTTCAGTCCTCCACACTCTAAATGTTGTACAGTGAAGATTTTCCATATTGTGGTGAATGACATTTAGTGTGCACACAAATTTGATCGTTTTATAGATTTAATTGCTAATATGTCACTTACATAACGAAAAATCCATAAAATACTCCGCGAGTGCACTGGTAAAACTAAAGCGTAGTGTTACCCTCTGTTCTCAAGCATAGCCAGTTTACGCTTGAAATCAAGCGTAACAGGCTCATCCACCAATAATCTCCCTATCTAAATGCATGGGGAAATTTCTAGTCTATGCTTCATTTCAAGCGTAACGTCTTCAAGCGTAACATTATGCTTGACTCAAGCATAGAGTTACGCTTTAGTTTTACCAGTGTGCGGCACTCCGAGAGGATTTTCCAGGCGAAATTCGAAGTGTCGTCCAGCGCGCCAGCCCCGCTGTCGCAGTGCCCACACCGCGAGAAGCACGTGAAGCCTGCGAAAAACCCGTCCAGTCCGTCTGGGCTGCTTTTTGGAACGATCGACAGGCCGAGGGGGGCCGAGCGGGGCCGAGCGGGGCCGAGCGGGGCCGAGCGGGGCCGAGCGGGGCCGAGCGGGCCGAGCGGGGCCGAGCGGGGCCGAGCGGGGCCGAGCGGGGCCGAGCGCACCAAGACAACAATTACCGATGAAAAAGCGCCGATAATGCGTGCGAGTCGCGTCCATCACCGAGTCAGTCGTCCTCTCAAAAAGCAGTCCGGACTGTGCAGCCCGGCCGCGGCCCGGCCACCCATGGGGACTGCAGCGAGATTCAGAAAGAGTCCTTCCGTCGCCCTGTCTCTCTCGCACTCGCAAGGCGCTCCGTGCGGGTGCGAGAGAGACAAAGCGCTCTGCTGGCACGGCGGCGGTGCCACGGACGCTGTGCCCGATGCAGGGCAGCAGATTCTCGTGCCGCGTCCCGTGAGTGCGAGAGAGACGGAGCAAGCGGAATCAGTCTGCAGGGCTGCCGACACGGACAGTCGAACCGTTCGGCCGAGCATCGCTTGTCTTCGTCACCCCGGACTGCAGAGGCTCCGGCATGCCAGGGAGCCCAGGGCCCAGGGCCCAGCGAGTGACGCGTTTTGGCATTCAAGAGTGCCACCCTTTCCCCGAACGGCCGGCCCGGCGGACAGACAGGCGGACAGACAGTCGGACAGACAGACAGACAGACGGACAGACAGACGGACAGACAGACAGACAGACAGACAGACAGACAGACAGACAGACAGACAGACAGACAGACAGACAGACAGACAGACAGACAGACAGACAGACGGCATTGCTGACAGCGACGCTTTTTTCGCATTGGCGCATCGCGATCGGGGGCACTACAGGCGATTCCAGCCTAACTTCATGTCCCACTGCCTTGCTTCAACGGGAGTCCATTGGTGAGGTCACACAGTCGGTTCGAGTCCCAGTTAGCAGCTCTGGAGCTCAAAACGCGTCTAGAGTTTTGGCCAACTGCGCCGGTCTTCTGGCCCACTGCGAAGCGGACTCCTAGCAGTGGTAATGCCCTGGTCGGGCCCGCTCACCTTCAGCACCACTCCACCGTAAGCGATCAATTAACGAAACGGCTGAAAAACTAAACGTTCCCCAGCAGGGGTAGGAGCGGCGTGGCTGGCCGGCGGGGCGCCGTTTGATTTACAGTGGGCCTTCAACGCGATCGGACGCTGCGACCTAATTGCTTACAAAATAATCGGCGCCCGTAAAGTATTTTACATTAACGTTACGGTCCATTGTTGTGCGGTTATGCGCTTGCAGTGGCGCGGCCAGCACCCTCGGCGGGAGGCTGGGCCTGGCTGGGCCCCTGGAGGATGCGCGCCGCGCGCCGATCCCCCGAGAGCCCTTCGGCAGGCTAGCTCTGTCTCTCTCGCACTCAAGGGGCGTCCCCTGCAGGTGCGAGAGAGACAGAGCAGTCTGCAGACTCCCTCCGTCTCTCGCACTCATGGAGCGCCATCCCGGCGGGGTGCGAGTGAGACAGAGCGACGGAGTGCTCAGACGCGCCGCCATCGCGGCACCTGAGTGAAATTGAGTAACTTTGAGGTCAAAGCCAGGCGATTCCAGGCGCCCTGTGTTCGGCGGCCACCCGGGTAAACGAAAGAGAGAACGCCCTACACCCCGTTTCTCTCGCTCGCTCGCTCTCCTTCGGGCCGCCCCATGAGTGCTAACGCGATAGACAGCGAAGAAACGGCCTTTCGAAATGATTGTCCCAGTTGCAGCCCTCCGGACCAGGGGCGGGTCCAGAGGAGGCGGCGAGTCGCACGTTGCCACTGTAAGTAGGCAACTTTTACCGCCCCTGGATCCGCCCTTGCGGCGGAAAGCGTCGCCGGATGCGCCAGCCAATCCAAGCGCTGCGTTTAAAAAAGCATTTTGCTGGGCGCTCGCCGAAAGCTGAGACTTGGCCTATCCCGGTCACCCACACTTTCCCCGCGCCGACGGCCGAGGCGGAAATGACCCCATCAACAAATTGCGCCGAAATAGGAAGTCTAATGAAGTAATTTGCCGGTAAAACTACCGGCGAGGCGGCCCGGTCGACGCGCTATGCACGGAAGGGCTCTCAGTTAGCGTTTCCGCCAAACCTCTCGGTGGCAAGCCCGCCATGCCGCAAATTTTTTTCTTTTTTTTACTTTTGTCAAGTACGAAAAATTAAAAAAAATCAAGATAATGTGTCATTAGCTCTAGTTGTGTTGGCATGTGGATTAATAAAAGCAACAAAGTTAACTTTACTATAGCAGAATACATCACCTCTCACAACTGTCATTCATTCTCCCTCCCTCCCCTCTCCCCCTTCCCCTCCCCATGTCATATTGCAGTTCGAATCAGCTGATTCATTATTGGGATCAAACAAAGTTTTCTAGACACTCAGCCCAATTACTAAACGTTCCCTGTTTTCATACGAATGTTATACCAAGTTTAGATAACTGCCTGATGCATACAAGGATATCATTCTCACAGCCTGAGATTAATATCAAAGTTTGATCACAATTAATTATTATTGATACTGATTCTCTTGTTTCCTTTAAAAGTTTGGTCCCATTTGTAGTTTTAAAAAGACAAACTGTTGGAAAAACACTAAATTATGTCTGAGAATATCGAATGTGTCATTATTTTCATTTACAAAAATATTGAAGCAAGTATCGATAATATTTTATATTCTTTCACATTTACCCGCAAATCTAGCGCAAAGCCCTCCAATAAACTGAAAGCCAATATATTGAAAGAAAGATACCAAAGTATTTATCTGCGAAGAGTGTATATCATGTAAAATAAATCAAAGCGCAATCAAAAAATTGATACCCAGAAACTCACAAGTAAGTAGGGTTATGACAAAACTATTACTGGGACAACTTAAGTCCCAGACATTAGCAAAAGCCTCAGGCTATCAAGCAGACTAACACACAGAGATTGTCATTGAATTTACAGTACCCCGCAGTGTTCAAACTCACAAGTTGCAAGAAATTTCTCGAATTCCAGTGCTCAAGGTTAACTTCAGAGAAAGGAATAAAAGGAAACATTTCAGAAAATACCAACACAAGCACACCAATCTAAGGATTAAAATTAAAATTTGAAATCTAAGAACACAGCAAGAGAAAAGTCTTCATTTGAATTGGTTGTGCAAAACTTTAGGAGAGAAAACATTGTGCCGATACTGTCGAGACACAAATCATATTTGAAATGAACACATAAAGGGCCCAGACTGGTCGACTATTCATTGATCACACAAGAGATAGTAAAGAGACACTCCTATAAACTGTATTTAAATGTATTATCCATCCTTAACTATCAGAAAATCCTCCTAAAATGTCATAGACAAGCATGACAGGTTTGTTTTGAAAGCAGTTTATTACACTTAAAGGTGACAGAAAATGGTACCGGGTGTTACCAATCCCAAAAACTAAAATTCCTTTCACTTTCCCGGCAGCCTGATCCAACGCAAACTGTCCGCAAGGCAGTGAAAGCCCAGCCTCGCGCAAACGACAAAGGGCGACATAACCTGTACGCTAGGGCGGCCGCGGATGTAAACAAACCGCCAGTCCGCCAGGCGGCCGGCCGCAGCCCGGACGCAGCGTCAACAGCTGTCCAGTCGCGCCAGTGCCGAGGCGGCCGTCGTGTGCACCACGCCGTCAACGCGTCCCCCGAGCCCTGCCGTCAAATTCATCTCAACAACGCGCAGAAACGGTATTTCTGACACATCGGTCCAGGGCTTCATAACCTCTGTGAGTGTCAGTGCTCGGGCGCCTTGGACATCGTTCAGAACGTCAAGATCGTGTTGACATTCGGTGACAGCCGTCCGGGACGACCCGAGGAGACGTCCCGTAGCCCCGGCGCCCCGCCACGCCCCGCCACGCCGCGCAAGGCGTGTAGCAGCGGCCCGCAAAGGCAGGGCAGGGCTTTGGATGTGAATCGGGGCCCAGTGCAGAGTGCGTAGGACGGGAATAGCCCCGGCCAGCACGCGCACCGCGGGGCACCGCGATGCCGGTCGGAAATAGGAACGCCTTGGAGCGCCGCGGAACGCCACACAGCACGCCGTCGACGCCGGCCGCGCTGGAGGTAAGTCCATTTACCTTTTTCATTATGCCAGTCTTCCGTTTGGAAAAGGTGGTGTATCTCCTGAGCTTGTTGTCGATGTATTCCATTTTGATCTTGACCCGCCCCTTGGTCTTCTTGCCGTTGGGGGGCGGGCCGCTCTTCTGGGGCGCGGGGGAGAACCCGTCGTCCATGAGGTCGGACCCGCAGTCCAGCGGCCGCCCCGTCACGTCCTGGTCCAGAAAGCACACGTCCGAGGACGAGCGCTTGAGTCCGCGGGACAGGCCGCCGCCGCCCGGCGCGCAGGACCCCGACAGGCCGCCCATGCCCGACCGGGACATCCCGGAGGGGCTGTGGCTGCTCAGGGAGGTCGCCGACGACCGGCCGCTGCCGTACATGTCCGGGGAGGTGTCGCCCCCCAGCAGGGACATGCTGTTGTACCCCAGGTTGAACCGGGCGTCCCTGCCCGCTCCTGCCGACGTATCCATGGTCACTGGCGCGGCGTAAGCACGGCGTTAGCACGGCGGGGACACAACACGTATCATATCACAGCACACACACTGGGAACCGCACACTTGACTTGACTGGCTAGGCGCGCATGTCACGCTCTAGCCGCCACCACGCGCACGCACTTGAGCACCACGACGACGACGTCACGCCGTGCAGCGGGCAGGCTCAGACACAGCGTGCACGCGCGTCCGTCGGCAGACAGTCGGCCACTGCCGCCGCCACCACCGCGCTGCACCGAGCCCCCCACCCCGCCCCGCCGCCCCTCCCCGTAACCCGACCTGCGCAGGCCCGCCCCACTCCGCCCCCACTCCGCCGGCCGCGTCCGAGGCCCCCGCGCACCGCGGCCGCCGCGGCCGCGCCGCTCCCCGCGCGCCGACGCCCCTGTCCGCGGCGAGAGGCGCCGCGAGAGCGCGAGAGGGACTTGGACTTCGCGGACGCAGCCCGGACTAGCTGCGCGCGGCATGTAGTCCCTCCGCCGGCGAGCGGCGCGACCCGAACCGATGCCGCCAATGTTGAAAGCGTTATCGCGGGCCGCGGTCATCGCCGAGGGTCGCCGCCGATTTCCCGACGCGTGTCATCGCGCTGCTGCCCTGCCGGCGCCCCGCGGCCGGGCGCGTCCGGGGCGACGTCGCGGTCCTCGTCACACCGCGCACCCCGGCCACCGCGACGGACAGAGACGCCGCGGCCCGGCCGGCGGAAGGATACCGCGCGCCGCCGCCCCGGCACTCCCCCCACCCCTCTACCATATTTAGAAGTCCCCACTGCCAAATTAGGTAAAGTCCGCCGCGTATGGCAGGCGGGATTCACCCTTTGCAAGGATTTGATTGACGCGGACAGGTGTGGACGGCCGGCGGCGCGGCTTTTCGTCCGGCCCGGGCTGCCCGCCGCCCTGCCGGCCTGCTTGAGGTGCCAAGGGATCGCCTGCGCGGCCTTTCCCTCGGCGCCGCGGCCGCCGCGTATGGGCGAAAAAGCGCCCGACCTCGCCGACGGCGAGGGTGTGGCGGTGCGCGGCGTGGCGGGGCGCGGCGTGGCGGCTGCCCGGGCTAAAACAAGATGTCCTCGTGCGACGGCGGCGTGCCTTTCCGAAGCACTTGACGCCCCGCACGGCGTGCGCGGCGCGGCGGCGCAGCATGGTGCAGTGTGGGGCACGTGCCGCCGGCGGGGAAGGCCCTCGCCACTCCCGCCGGGAGCGCGGACTCCGTGGACTTGACGGATTCTCGGAATCTCGCGGACTTTGCTGGGGACTGCGTGGTGCTGTCGTAGCGGACTTGGCGGTTCACGCGGTTTTGCTCACTTCACCCGAGTGGGGAACAACTTGAATTTTGCTGTATACGTTTTCCTTGAAGTAACGTTACAACAAGGTGAAATAGCGCCAAAATTACATAAAATGACTTGAAATTGGAAAACAATTGAAAAACAAAAGCGGCGTACAAAATGTTTTTAGAATTTACTTTGCGTACTGCACGTACTTCACGGCTTTTCGCAGACCAAACATGCTTCTCGGGAGTTGCCGCGGACTTCGCGGCAGACTACACTGACTAATCAGACTTCGCGGAGATCGCGCCACGGGGTGTCACAGTGAGCCGACACTACTTAGGCGACCCACTTGTTGGCAATCGGAGGAAATGAGAGGCCGGCCGGCGTTTTACCAAATAAGGAGCAAGGGCGGCGATAAAGACGGGATGCGTGGCGCGCCGTGGCGGGGAAGTGCGGCAGATAACGCGAGGCCAGGCGGAACTCTTTTCACCTCCAATCTGTCTGTCTCCCTCGCACTCACGGGGCGTGCCGTTAGCGTGCGAGAGAGACAGAGTGGCAATCCATTGGTGGGGTCACACGTTCGGTTCGAGTCCCGCTGAGCGACTCTGGAGCTCAAAACGCGTCTCGAATTTTGGCCGCCTCTACCGGTCTTCTGGCCCACTGTGCGGTGGGTTCCGCCGCGGAGCTTGGTCATGCCGCCGCGGGAACGCTGCCGGGACGCGGCGTCGTCTGCTAGACTCGCGGTGTGGTGGTTCCAGCCGCCGCCGCTGTGGTCGCGGCGCCACCGTACGGATGACAGGCCGTTGTCGGTCGGCCCCGCAAAAGGCGTAGCGGTAGGCGGGGCGGCGGACCGCCGGGCCGCGGCGTGGCGGGCGTGGCGTGGCGTGGCGTGCCTTGTCGTGCCTTGGCCACCGACTCGCATCCTCGGACACCACCAAGAGGCTTCCGCCAGGTTGTTTTAGGGCTTAGCGGCGCTCGTTCTTAGAAACACAAATTCGGTAGATTTTTCCGAATTTTATTGTTTGGAAGAACACGACGTCGGCGATCCGATTCGATCGTTGTCTAGTGATACTGAGAACGGTGATGGTCATGACCATGACCGCGTGGAGGCAGCGGCAGGCTGATTCCGAACAGTGCTCGCGCCGCCTCTCTCTCGCACTCACGGGGCGTCCCGTAGGGCTGCGAGAGAGACAGAGCGACGGACCGCTGTTCAGATGCAGCCTGCCTTGGCCTGCGGGCACTGCACATCTCCCCGCAACATCCCGGCGCGTCGTCAGTGGTCGTCACTGTCGGGCCATCAGGCCCACTGCGCTCGCGTCGCTCTGTCTCTCTCGCACCCGCGGAGTGCCGCGTAGGTGTGCGAGAGAGACAGAGCGACGCGAGCAGCGCAGCGAGGCCCTTTCCCCGCGCGGCCGCTGACGGGCTCGTTTTTCAATGGCCCGCCTGCCTGGCCGCCGAACTGCATGCCGAACTGCACGCCGCATTGATGCGACGTCGGGGCGCGTCGCTAAGCGCGGCCTTAAGCGGGACTCTGGGACGGCTTACACTGTAGTGGGACTAATGTAGTCAGTGGCGTGCGCAGAAATTTTGGAAGGGGGGAGGCGTCAAGCCACGCTTACTGCGTGCGGAATCTATCGCAATCTGGCTACTTCACACGCGGCTATCAAGTGTCAAAATGGGGGGGGGGGGGGGACCCCCGGCCTCTCCTCTGCGTATGCCACTGAATGTACCTAGTAGCCATCCTTACCCTGAACTACCTTGAGGCGGACTTCCTTGCGGGTAGGGGCCCCCTAGGGGGACGTTGCCCCCATGACCCCTCCCCTGGATCCGCGCCTGCTCTCTCGCATGCACGGACGGTGCGCCCCGCGAGTGCGAGAGAGACAGACGCGCCACTCGAAATCAGCGTACAGATGCGGCAAGTCCTCTCCGGGCCGGAACGTGCGCGCCCGAAACAAGAGGACGACGAAATAACGAGAAATAAAAACAATTCATTTGTACACGTGTACAGAAGCCGCCGCCGCCCCGCTCGCGGCCGCGCCGCCGCGTGTCCGGAATGACGACCGTCTTCGCGGCGCGCACACCGGGAGTCGCTTTCGTCGCTCTGTCTCTCTCGCACTCACGGGGCGTCCCGCACAGGTGCGAGAGAGACAGAGCGACGAGATCGGCCTCGGACGCGAGGTGCAGCCCGCCTGCATTTTTAGGCCGCGTGTGCCGCCCGGCCGTGCTGCGCCCCGCTGCATCCTTGACTTGCACGCCGATGCCGAGCCGAGGGTCTCTCTGTCTCTCTCGCACCCGTGGGGCAGCCCGCACCGGGGCGACGGACGTCCCACCCGGTGTCTCGGCCCGCCAATCTGGCAGGCTGCTGTTTTCGAAAGCGTCTCCCTTCGCGCGCTGCTTCTGTTGTTGTTGTTGTTGTTGTTGATGTTGTTGTTGTTGTTTGTTGTTGTTGTTGCGCTGGGCGCAGCATTGCCGGTCAGGGCATTGTCCCTTCTGGATGCCGCCGTACGGAGATGCGCCGACGACGTACGTACTTGTCCACTGCAGCGGCGGCGCGGCGGTCAGCCAAAAAAAAAAACAAAAAAAAACGAAAGGTTCATGTGTTGTGAAAGAAAATAACTTTCGACGTTTGTTCGATCCGATATTAGTGAATGAGCAATTCGCGTCCCGCCAGTCTCGCGCCCTTGCCATCACCATATGAGTCGGCGTCAAAACAGAGACGGGAGCGGAGGGGAGGGAGGGGAAGGGGCATGGGGCAGCAGATGCTTGTTCAGATGGTGAAAAGTCACGCCCGCTCCATCTGCTCGGCGGCGCGATGCTCGCCTGGTGGTGCTTCCCCCGACCTCAGCAAAACTCGCCACTTCATTCCCAGAAGAAAGAAAGTCCCTTTCCACTGCAGCAGCACGCAGCGGCGCAACTGCACAGTGGGCCGGAAGACCGGGTTTTGGCTTTTGCCATTGTAAATTACATTGTAAAACCTTTGTATTATGCAAAGTAGTATCGGGAATTTCTACGTAAGACGTTGACAGTGTTGCTGTTTTTTTTTTTTCGAGACATTGGGACCAATGCAGCACGGTAGACAAGGTGGCGCGTGCCGTACCGCACAATGCTGGTGTATCGGAGGGGAGGGGGGAGAGGGGGGCACTTACGGTGTACAGCAATGTCTACTCAGGCAGCACGGGTCACGCACGCGCCGCGCGATGTCCGACACGGAGGCGCGGGGAGGGGGGGGGGGGGGGAAGGGAGGAGTAGCGAAGAGAGAAACTTGTGTCGCGCCAACACGATTAGATTTGTCGGCGCGCTTTGAATTTGGCGCCTTTGGTGTTCGGCCGCCGTCGGCCTTCCCTTGGCGCTGCACTCCGGCGTCCCGAGTCACTTGGTGGCTCTGTCTCTGTCGCACTCATGAGGCGTCCGGCAGGAGTGCGAGAGAGACAGCGCGACTCCTCGCTCCTCGTGCTGCTGCCTCGTCCTCTCGGCGCGTCCCTGGAGGTTGTGCCGGTGGCGGCGAGAGGCCTCTTCGAGGTACGTGGTTTCGATAGTGGCCCAAACTCGATCGCGGAGTTTCGATGACGCACAGTGGGCCAGAAGACCGGTGGAGGCGGCTAAAACTCTAGACGCGTTTTGAGCTCGAAATCAGTTTGCAGCAGCAGATCGAGGCCACTTTGTTTTTGTTTTTTCGTCCAGCTGTCCGGCTCTCGTTTTCGTCGCCGCCTCATTAACATGAGATACACGCCATCTGCATAATTTAGTCGTCCGCGGAAAGTCCAATACTAGAAACAACGGCACTCGCGGCGAGATGAAGGCAGGCCGCGGACCGAATCCGAGAGTCTCGCTCTGTCTCTCTCGCACTCATGAGGCGTCCCCTTCGGTGCGAGAGAGACAGAGCGACGAAAGCGACTCTCGGAATGAGGCCGCTGCCCATTTGCATCCCTACACTGGCACGCGT